TTTTATATATGTTTTAAATGATTTAAACTATATACGTATTTTATATCTACAAAATGTGTTAGATAGAACATGGGTAGATTAAAGATGAGATAAATGATGAGAGATGAGATGAATGATGAGCGATGATATATAAGTGGTAAAATATGGTGAGAAGCGATGACCTAAGCGATGAGCCAAAGCGATGAACCAAAATGATGAGCCAAATGATTACCTAAGCGATGACCCAAGCGATGGCTCCGTCATCTAGCAGAGTATGGATGACAACCATGGACTATTCTAGACAGTCCAGTGGAACACTACCAAGCTCGCAACCTGTAGGTGTTGTGAACGATGTGTTCATCGGTGTACTCTAAAAACCCATTGACATGTATTGCGAGTGGATTCTCGAAAACAATATTGTCAATAAACGAGATAACCCTGGCAGCTATGGATTTAGTACTTGTTGAGCAAACCCTGGAAACGATGGATTTTATGTCTATTCCTTAGGATAATCCTTATGAAATAATGAACGAGGAATAGTTCATTCTTAGGGTAAATCCTTAAAAGTAAAGAAGATAATGGGGATGGGTAATTGGGTTAATTGTTTAATGATTAAACATAATAATTATATTATTGTGGGTTGAAAACCCTATGTACTCACCAGGTCTCCCAACCTGACCCACTCAGTTTATTTATATCACAGGTGTTGATATGAAGTCACATTACACTGAGAGATCAAGGAGATATAAATCAGTAGAGATAATGAATGTAATTTCTGTTTATGCTTATGTTTCTGTATTGACGATGACATCCCAAATGTATTAACATGAATAAAAATATTTTTCTTCGGAAATGCTTTGATAACGTATTTATCATGTTTTACTGGGAACAAATTCCGCAACATTTCTATTAAAAGAGGTACTCTGATTTTTATAAAGCATAAACAAAATCGGTATTTTTTTACCGTGAAAATGGGGATGTCACACACACACACACACACACACACACATATATATATATATATATATATCCATAAGGCTTTTAATTGTACATTTAACCCCCCCCCCCCCTTCCTTAAAGCTCCTCGCTTACTGTTTTTGACATAACCATGCACCAATAGAAGGAAATAATTTATTTATTTTGATCAAGAGAATTACACCTAGTATATTAATTCATACCATAAACATCACTTCTTAATACTCCAATATTTAAATACCAAAGTTATCTAACAAATGATATAAGTTTCTTGTGTGATGAGGACCAAAGTCATCAACATCAGCATTTTGTATGGGAGGCATAGTCTCATACCACGGACTAGTGATTTCATCTAACTGAACTTTTAGGAACCTCTAACTTCACTTGTTTGTCAAAATTTAGTGAAACAATGTTGACTTTAACAAACTCGTTCCTTATATACATGTATTGATAAAGCATAATCATTGGCGGAATATATCTCTATTGTGATTCAAATGTTTCAAAACAGTATGATTTCTTAAACATTGATCTATCCACTTGATACATCTTCTAAAGATGAAGATGAAATTGTGATACATTGACTCTTCTTCTATCATATCACCCATAATGCTCTGTTAAAATCAACTTCAATTAGAAAAAAATCATATTACATGTAAATTAATTGAATCGCATTTATCAAGATTCATCTTAATAATTCTAGAAGATCACATTAGTATTACTTTTTATACTAAATCATCCAGTACACTCTCCATGGAATATAGGTTCATACACAATCTCATTTATATCCATTCGATAATATGCTCTAATCATGTCAATCAATTACATGACATGTTATTTATGGTATCCTTAGTGGAAGCAAAAGAGGCACATATATCATCAAATGTTGTATTTTATCTCATGTTACATCCCTATGAGTCCAAAACTAAAATCATGTATCTTGAACCAGTTTCATGTTCTTCTATTAAGGTGTGTTTGTATATATATATATATATATATATATATATATATATATATATATATATATATATATATACACACCCCGATACTTGCACTACGTTTCTTGAATCTTATTAATAGGAGATATTTCCAAACATGGACTAACATTCTAAATGGTTTGAAAAATAACAATTTAGACCGGTAAGTATGGTAACACACCATACAATATTTTTGGCTTGCCACATCATTTTTTTTTCTCACCCACAAAACTGATAGGAATGTTCACCTCTCATTGCCTCTCATCCCTTTATCTTTTTAATATTCAAATATGTGTAAATAATGTATCGGTATTATACTCTATTTTTTGGAAATTAAAAACCATGCATTTTAATATATATATATATATATATATATATATATATATATATATATATATATTGTGTGTGTGTGTGTGTGTGTGTGTGATTTAATAATAATTAAGAAAGGAAAAAAAAACATGGTATAGTCTCATCATGTTGTGCCCTTACTTCATTAGCTCTCAACTAGAGGGTGTGATGTTGCCCTCATACCGCATTGCCATGTCACCTCTGCTGCATGGTGTGGTACATCCACTCCTATTAGTATAATTAATATGTATGTCACACACAACATTTGGGTTAGCTAGAAATGCTCTCACTAGCTCTAATGAAAACCTAAAACCTATATTTAACATATAAGAACAACAAACTTGATCTTACATGAGGAATTTCATTATTAGATAGTTGTTTTATATATTTGAATCTTGTACACTTCGTTAATGTGTCTGTCACACACCACATATCTCTCTTTAGTTACTCATCGTCTCAAGTGTCAAAAGAATTTGTCTTGATGGATTTGTATGAGAGAATTTCCGTAGTATATCTTATAATCTCGGACTTGCAAAAGCTATATATTGGTTGTATTTGGCACGCTATAGCAAACTGATAAGCTAACTTATTTTTCATGATTTTTTAAGTTATAATGTTTGACAAACGAAAAAGTAGTTTATAAGCTAGCTTTTTAAAATGAGTAAATTACAGTTTTGTTCCCTATGGTTTAGGTAGATTCTCACTTTTGGTCCGATCTTTGGAAAATGGACTAGACGCATCCTTGTGGTTCCCCAATCTTGCAGTTTTGATCCTCTATCCATATAAATAGACTATATTGCCCTTTCTAATTTCTTTTTCTATTTTCTTTTACTCTTTTTAAAAATATAAAATATATTTTGGGCCCACGTCCCCTAACCCTCCACCCCAACCTCACTGTCTCTCTCCTATTATTCTTCATTTTTCATTATTTTGTCTCCCATTCTTCTTCATTTATCGTTCTTCTTTCACCATGTTCAAGAGTGCCGCTCTACCCCATATTTCTTCTTCACATTTCTTTTTCCTCCTTCTTCCTAATCAACATAGAATCATAGTATTGATATATGCTTGAGATTGGCAGTGGTGGAGCAGATGAGGGTTTGTTACTGTAAGAAGCAGCAGAGTCACCAAGATGTAGGAAACGACGATGAAGAATAGGATGGTGATGATGGATAAGATGGTAGGATATGATAGTTTGGGATTTTAGACAATGTAATTTTGGGTCGATGAGCCATTTTTCATAATTGGTATGTTATTAGGGTTAGAAATAGAAATTGACGATGGAGATGAGATATACACAGGACTCTGGAGGGAGAGAGGTTGAGACACCGAAGGGGGAGACTAAAGATCTATGAGATCTGAAGATGATGAATCAAACAGAGTAGGAGGATATGTGAGATGGGTGGTTTCAGAAGGAGATAGGGAAAATAGTTAATGGGAGGGGAGGTACTTACTGGAAAGAAATCATGTGTGCATTGTCTTCTTGTGTTCTTGGAGAAAATCACCAGCCATGATCACCATTATTGAATCTCCTTGTACCCATGGAGGAGATGAACCGAAATAGATGTTTTCCGGTTTTCTTGTGGTTGTATTGATTAATGATGGTGGGATATGAAGTAGCGGCGGCGACTAAAGCTCTAGGGATGTTTATGGTGGTGAATGAGAGAGATGAACATGATGGGTTGTGGTGGGGTGAGGGTAGGGGTGGGTGGGTATGGTGGATATTTTTTATTTTTTATATTATCAAAATTTATAAGTCAGTAAAAGAAATTAGAAAGCATAATATAGTCTATTTGTATGGATCAAATACCAAAAGTGCAAGAATAGGAAACCACGGGGATGTGTCTTGTCCATTTTCCAAAGGTTTGACCAAAAGTAGAAATCTACCTAAACCAATAAACCATAGGGACCAAAACTATAATTTACTTTTTAAAAAACTACCTTAACTAGCTTTCCAATAGCTCTTTTCAAAAATTCCAAACATACCATTAGCTCTTTTCAAAAATTCTAAATATACCGTTAGTTAATTATAAAAATCATATTGAGTTTTTTTATATCATTTTATATTTTCCAGTTAGTTTATCAATTAGTTTTTATCATTTCTTATTTTTTTATTAACTAGTTGATAAGTTAACAACTACCTATTTAGCTAATACCTAACTTTTCAATTATTACACTAAACATAGTTGTGAGCTTCACAACTTCCAAATTCTTAATTAGGACAGCTTTGGGCAGCCTGCCCCAATTGCCATAACTATCACACAATGAAAGATTTCTAATAATCTTGATGTTTTGTTTATTTCTAACAAGTTACACGGTATGTTTTCTTCTGAAATTGGAAGATTAAACGAATGAACAGATCAACGAAAGAAACTTGTTCGATATTCAATTGAGTTGCAAAATATGCGATTGGTGAAATACTTCAAAAAAAAAAATTCATCGAAGACTCTTACCTACGATATTGCAATAGATTGAGCAATGTTTTTATTAATGCTTTATTCCATCATAAGTGCTGCCTATCCAAGTCCAACTCTTAGTTCTAACAATCATTGTTGCATTGGATTGCAGTTAATACTCTAGTAACTTTCTTTTATATCTAGCATCACAACAGATTCAGTGTTACTTTATTAATTGTTTATTAATCATAAGTATTCGCAACACAACCCCTAGTTTCAATATTAATTGTTGCATCCATTACAATTGATTACAAAGTGGTGTGCTTCCTTTTCAAGAACTCAAGAACTTCATACAAATAGGTGGTCTAATTTTAGCCAAAGAAAGAACCGCAGCTGGAAGAATCCACAAACCTTCACCACAAATCAAACCAGAAGCCACAGAAGTAGACATCAAATCAGCCTTTTTAACATTCACCTTCTGCCATACCAACACCACCAAGCTTCCAACACACATATCAATACTAAAATACCCACCCACCAAAAAAGGCACAGCCATACATATAGGCAAAGGCATCCACTTCCCTATCTTTTTAGGCAACAAATCTTTCACAATATTAACCCCCACAGAAAAAGCAAAAAACCCATAACATAAATCCAAACAATGTTTAGGTAAAGCCGAAAAGCCTTGAACACCAATAATCGCCATGTTTCTAAAAACTATCGCGAATGGTGCTTTGTATTCCCCATTAGGGTTTCCCACATCAAATGCTTTAGTAAATAAAGAAAGAGTTAAAGGCGACACAACACACCCTATTGCTGTCCCAATCGTTTGGCTTAAAAGCATTGTTCTAGGTGAAGTCAACGTCACATGACCGGTTTTCAAGTCGTGCATCAACGTACTGGAAATAAAAAGAACCGCCTTCATAACACCACACCCCACCAGTCCCGCCACCACTCCGTGGTGTTTTCCGGCCAACGCCGCCATCATGAAAAGCCCGATTTTGCTGTAGTTGTATGCCATGTCCCAATCGGTTAATCCGTTTCCATACGCGTTACAGAAGGCTAATGATGGAGCGATTATGTAGGCTATGATGATGTAGAACCATTTGACTTCTGGAAATATTAAGGGAATTACAAATGCATTGATAATGGAGAATGAAGTGTATCCAATCACTGCAAACCACATTGGTATGGCTTCTTTGACGAACACTTCGTTTTGTAATCGTTCGGCTTCTGTAACTTCCTTCTCGCTACCTACAGCTGTAAAAAGACGATAATGCCCTTGGAAATAAGTTAAGTTATACGTCTTGTTTAGGGTTAATTGAAGCTAAGCTTTTGAGATTTATACCTAAACCGGGATTTTCCCTTTTCAATCTTCCGTAGATACTTGCATATGTAAAATATAGAATCTTGGTGAAGTTATAGAGTCCATCACCAAGGAGAAGAGCAATTGAGATAAAGACTTTGTAACCATTCAGACTTTCCATGCTGCTTTCAGGAACATTATTAGGAAACCATTCGCCTTTTTGGTTTTCAATAAGTGGCCACATTATACCCCATGAAATCACAGCTCCAAACAGCAAAGAAAAGCTCACAATAGGAGGACAAATCATCCCAGTTCCCACATATGTCATGCTGAAATTGAAGTAAAATCTACACAAAATAGCAAGAACTGAAGAACCCATTATTTATATAAATCAATAAAAGATACCAAATAGGAACAAAGCTTACGTTTTCTTATAAGCTTCTAATCCAAAAGTAGGGAAGTGGGCAAATCCACATACTCCTTTTCCAGTGAAAAACCATTGAAAGATTGCCCACAAGAAACTGAATGAAAAGTACTTGGCAAATCCCTTGATTTGTTTCCTATAAAAAAGACACTTGTTGATGATCATACAATGTGGAAAAAGGGTTTATGAAATGTGTTATAAAAGTGTACTTTGCCATGTCATCTCCCTGACTATGAAATCCATTGATAAGAACAGCTGTAGCCATCCCACTTGGAAATATCAACTTATAATCAATAATCAAGATCTGTAGAATAGAATTCTCAAATGTCAATAATATAAAGATGGTATTCAGTGTTCAACATTTGAACACAATTTATACAGAAAGGTGTTTGTTTATACACCATGTGGGACCCACATACCTTTCGGAGTGGAATCAGTACAAAAAGACCAGCAAAACAGATCAAGAAAGAGTAGCCAGTCATCCAACCAACATGAAGTTCTTTATAAGTCCCTGGAGAATTTGCTCCTCCAGCCAGCTCATATGTTTTCTTGTTCAAAGCAAATAAGAAAGATCCAAATCCAGCTAATATTCAAAGTCAAAAACCAATAAACATTTCACAAAACATATAGATAAAGATGATAACTTTAAAGATTTGAAGTTGAAAAATGTTAGAAAAACCTCCAATGGCAATGCTGTAACAAGCAACTGAACATGTTTGAATCATTGTGTTTTCATGTCTGGTAAAGGGAACGAAGGGAATCCCTAGTTTTTGAAGTATTTTTGTCCATGTTTTCATGTACACAAATGCAAGAAGTGCAGCTGAGACATTAAGATTAGGAATCAAACCAGTTGTGAGATTTAGTTTCATGGCTATAACAGTGTAAATGCATCCCAAAATAACACTCGCAATAACTCCACGAATTGTGATCTGTTTTGTCCATGGTTGCAGTCTTTTTGAAGCTTGAAGATGATGATCATAATCATCATCTTTCTTCTCTTGTCCCACCTCCTCTCTTTCTTTTTCAATCTCACCTGTCTCCTTCATGTCTGTGTTCATTGTTAATTTAAAGTTTAAACACCAAAAAGAAAAGAAAATTGTACAATGTAGTAATGAATTACTCACCTTCAAGTTTCTCTGTACTTCAATACATAAAAGGATGAAGGATGCATGAAGTTATTATAGCAAGTCAACTGGCAGATGTTGCTTTCTCACTGTCCTTCCTTTTCTCCTAGAAAACTCTCATTTATAATATTGATATGTGTGTGTGTGGAGTGGGAGAGAGAAAGAGTAAATAGCCAATCAGTAAAGCTGCATATGAATACTGTCGTCATGTTGATCTACCACTAAAACTAAATAATTTGTGAGATGGCATACTGTGTACTATTATTCTCATTAACTTACAAGGTGCAAACACAGTCATTGACTTCACCTTATTTTACACATATTATCTTGAAAGAAATGAACAATCATTCATATGATCGCAAGTTATAATCCTTTAATTAAGGAGATATTAATGCTGTAATTTGATTGGTTGTGTGGGTCAATGAGATTCCTTCTGCTGGACTAGGAATCCCATCAAACTCCATGGAATATCTCCATGTTATCAGAAGAATGATTTCGTGATAAAAGTTTTATATATAATAAGGTTTCTCGTACAATTGATGCTTTAATCCGTTTTTATGGTAGGGACTGAAGGTTCAATTGGAAATGGACTTAAAATCCCCAATTTAATGCAGAAATCCAAACCAACGCCAGCAAACAGGAAGATTAGAAGATTTTCTGATACAAAAACAGCACCACTGAAAGTATGCGACAATATGCTACCAGCTTCCAACTCCATTGGTGGTCCTCCTGCTAGTGTGGCAAGACCTGCGTTAAAATTTCAAAGGGAAACATGAATCTGTTAGGGTTTAATCGTCATGGAGAACTTGTTAATGGAGTAGGTTTCTGAAATACCTTTGACAAAGCCAAAAGCTGCCGACGTTCCGGATTTGAGCTGAAAATTGTCTAGGTCACGACGAACAGCATAGCGAAAAGTAACACCAAATAACGCACAGCTGATGAGAGTGATAACTGACGGAAGGATTAACTGTGATGCGTCGGTCGCCTGAGATAAGGAAATAGGCAAGCCTGCCAAGGTGCCGACTATGGCGGAGATAGAAGCAGCTTTTACAGATTCAAATCTCTCTTTGTTTTTGTACATCGCTTCTCTTTCTGTTTCTGTCATCATCGAATTTTTATCTCCGACTTCACCTTCAAGTGAGCGTTCTGCTTCTTCAACCAGTGCTCTTGCTTCTGATAACTCCTTCTGGCATTCCTCAATCTGAATTCAATGTACGAAACATACATCTGTAATAAGAACTAGGAACAAATATTCTAAATATATAAATTGGAGAAACGAAGAAATTAACCTCGGAAGCTCTGGATTCGAGTTGATTGATGTATTCTTTTATCTTCTGGTTTTCTATTTCCTGCTTTTCGATCTGAGCAAGTTCTCGCTTGGCCAATTCAACTCGCTGTGTAGCTTTATCCAATCCATCTAACAAAGTTCTATTTTCCTCGCTGTTCAGCAATTGGTTTACCCGTTCGTCGACTATACCCGAGAGCAAATTCTTCAATCCCCCGCCATTGTTGCTCTGGTCGGCGCTACCATTATCAGTAACGGGGTTACTACATTTGACGGCGAATGAACCAGACCTCGAGGATGAAGACGATCTGAAGGGTTTGGAGCGAATGTAAAATTGAATATTCGTTAACTGATTCGAGGATTTTGGAGAATATATGAGTGTGGGATTGGGTATGGTTGCCATGCTTCCTGGATAGCTTCACAAATGATAGTTTCAAGAACTCCTGTACGGTATTTTTGAAAGAAAGTGAAGCGAATTTTACGTAAATACTCTTTTAACTCCAACCATATAAAATGTTTTGAAAATATCAACCTGAAAAACAGAGTAAAGACCAATATGTTATTTTGATATTAGTCAAGGACCATTTATATAACTTTAGGAAAGACATGGACCATTTGACTAACTTGGTTAATATGCAGGAACTATTTATGTAAACTTTGTGAAATACAGGGATCATTTATGTTATTTTGTGCATAGGAAACATTTCTAAAATTTTGTAAAATAGAGAGACCACTTTGTGAAAGATAAGGAGAAATTGGTAAGTGTAAAGATAGATAGAAATAGAATTACACGAATGGTCTATGTAGTTTTAGGTAGTTTGTATTTGGATGTTTAGGTCCCAGTTGCTGATCGAGAAAGTGTTGATTGAGAAAGATCTGTCTCAATTAAGATCTGTCTTAGTAAGAAATTCTGATTAAGTAAGAAATCATATTATTTGATTGAAAATCTAACTGATGTAAAATGACCATTTTACCCCGATGCTCTACACGTTTCAATGCAATATGAAGACGATAATAATAATAATAATAATAACAACAACAAAAACAACAATAATAATAACAACAATTACAATAATAATAATAATAATAATAATAATAATAATAATAATAATAATAATAATAATGTATAAAAAAAACTTATAGCATAATAAACATTAAATATATTATTTTAGAAATAAAACACAAAAAGTCATTTAGCTTGTTGGTAAACACCATCTCTTTTACAAGGGAGACCTAAGTTCTAATCTTGTAACCTTCATATCCAAGCCAAGGGTACTATTGAAAACCCTCACTTTGTCAGCCATCTCCCAACTTCTTTCTCGGTCAGACCTTGCTTTCCGAGTCAGACGTTAAGATTTTGTTTATCAAACACCTTTAGTCTGACCGAGTCAGCCAAAAATGTCTGACCTGACTCGGTCAGATGCATATCAAACAGGGTTTTAGTCTCCAAATCTTGTTTTGTCTCTGTCTCTTTTGTTTTTAACTCCAATTTTTCAAATAGTTTTTGGGTTGGGTTTAGGAAATCTTCGATCAAACACTAAAATTTATAATAAATTATTTGTTTCACTAAAATCTATGCTTTAGCCCTATACTAAACTTAAAATTATATATAATATTGGTAACTTGAAATTATATATAATGTTGGTGAATAGTATAATACCAAATATAGTATTATATTATTTATCAATACTTACGATCCTATGATTTTAACTAGATAAATTAATCCCGATCTTATTAATGATCATTTTTCAATAAGATCGAGATCGGATCATAAGATCATAGGATTGTAACTATTTTTTAAAAACAAAATTTTAATATTTTATATGGACTAACTACGTGGAATACTAATTTTGAATTGTTTATCACTAAATGATGTATTGAATATGTATTTTTTATGTTTTAAACAATTTATTATTAACTACATGGTTAACAGATTGGTGAAAATGTATTTTTTTTTTTTTGTATTGAAATATTTTTTGTAGGATGTTACGATCACGATTTTGCAAAGCGAAAAAACTATCATATGTAAGATCTTGATCTTCACAACCTTAATACTATGCTTACTTATTGTTTTTAACTTCTTTTATCATTAATTTTTTTATCTCGTTATTTATTAAAATGGGTCACCCCATATTCCAACTCTTACGAAACATAATCTATCTCTTTTGTTTAAATTTCACATCTTCGTGTCTGTCACAACTAGCATTTTTGGCTAGGATAGTTTGTATTCATGTAATCAACTCGTGTGTAACTTGTAATCTAACTTGAAGTTTAATGAAAATACTCATTTCAAAATCAACCATTTGAATCAAAAATCACTCGTGAAGTTCAAAACCTAATTCAATACATCTCATATACTCAACTGTGGGTTGAAACCCTAATATCCTGGTTCAAACTCAGATGGACTAGGATCCTCTTATTGGGTCTAATGGGCTAGTAAACTCTCAATTTGGTTATTTTGGGTCAAGAAACCCTATTTGGGTTCTAGTTGGACCCACATTCTTTAAGCTATAGCATTTTGGGCTATATTGGGCCTAAAATGTCCCACAACTTTTTAATGTGCCTTATTGGACTGTAAACAACTATCTTGATCATTATTGGGTCGTAAACCCCTTTTTTTATCATTTTTGGATCGTAAACCCTCATATGGGCCCAATGGGCATAAAACTTTCATATTGGCCCATATAATTTCAAATATATTCAAAAATGGCCCAAATAGTTCTTTCCTCTCCTCCTTACTCCATTCTCGGTTTTATCAAAAAGATAAATTTATTCACAATTGGGCCGAGAATGTCAATTTTCATAAAATTGAGGCCAAATGTGTTATTTCTAAACAAAATGGGTCTAGAAATGCTATTTCGTTTAAAACAAGCCCAAAAATGTAAATTTCGCTCTTAAAGGACCTAAAGTGTCATTTTTACCAAAAATGTGCTTTACTTGTAAAATTTCAATTTAAGGACCAAAAATGTCTTTTTACAAAAGTGGGTCTTTTTGTGTCATTTTGGTAAACAACTAAGCTTATCAACCAACGGATCAATCACGTCATTTACACTTTTTATTGGGCTTGGAATATATCTTACATGTATATTGGGTCTGGAATATACCTTACATGTTTGTTGGGCCTTAGTTGTCCATTTATATGCTTAGTGGGCCTTAGTTGTCCTTTTGCATGCTTATTAGGCCTGGAATATACATTACATGCTTAGTGGGTCTTAGTTGTCATTTTGCATGCTTATTGGGCCTAGAATATACATTACATGTTAAATGGGCCTTAGTTGCCCTTTTACATGCTTGTTGGGCCTCATACATTCACGTACATACTCGTTTGGCTTTGAAAACTTAAAGCATACACGGAAACAATACATATTGTGCAATTCAATATTCGCGTAAATTTCGTTAAGGATCTTGTGAAACACTTCGTTTGACACCTATTGAGTGTACAATTGTAGCCTGTAAGGAGAGCGTGAGTTTGTGTATAGACTATACAGGGGTGACACCCCACACCTGAGTTGTTCGCTACAATTAGATTATTCCAGTCTAGAGTGACAAACCACCTTACCTTAAACAAGACGACGTCTGAAAGATGTCATGACAGGTGGATCAGTCATTATCAAGTATGGTTATAACGACTCACATAAAGGAATTAACTCCATATAAAGTTTATGGAATACATTTACAACTTGGTAACATGGTAACATATATGCACTGGTACTCCATCTTAGGGTGTTAAGACTACGTGTTATAAACAGACAATATCGAATTATCTGGGATCATTCATTTTATACATCTTCAAACATTAACACACATGCATCAATACGAGATCGGACACAAACATTTCAAACTGTTTTTAAAAAAATATCGGATTTTCTGGTGTTTACAAAGCAATACAAAACATTTTACTCAAACATGCTTATGAACTCACCAACATCTTAGGGTGTTAAGACTACAACGTTTTATAAATGGACAAATGTGTTGACATTTTCAAATTAACTTATATTCTTAGGAAATCGTTGAGCAGGTCGGTCAGCAAAAATAGCTGGAATTTGTTGTGTTTTGTTATCACCATACTTGGATATTTTGGCATATAATTTGAAATACAAGACTTGATGTAAACAATGACCGTTGTATTATGGCATGTGTCATGATGATGATGTTTTGTTTCAATTATATACACTGTGATGATACTACAAGAATAAAGTCACCCAACCCCCGGATGTTTCCGCCGTTTCACCGGTTCGGGGGTGTGACAGTGTCTCTCCATCATCATCCCCTTCTACCAACTGAAAGTTCGTCGCCTTCATTAGAGAAACCATTTGTCGCTCAACCCTCCCCCCCCCCCCCCCCTTTCTTTATGAATTATGATGTTCACCTTCGTGAAGCCCCTTAGTAACAAATATCTATTCCTCAACCTCAATCTATGTTCATACGACATCTTCTTACTTTATTTGAACCCAAAAGAAGTTTCGGAGATTGTGTTCAAACCCAATAAATATCATAAATATATGTTCAAAAAAGGAAGAACAAGCTCGTTGTTTTCAGGTTCAAGATTACGAGATTCAAGAACTCCATTTTGCTGAATTCAGGTCTATATTCAAACAAAGTAAGATTTGAAGAAGCACGTCCTAATATTAATTTAGAATTAAGTTCAAAAATATGGATTTAAAGTATAATGTCAATAACCCTACATGGTAAATTTTTCAAAGTATAATGTTATAATAATAAGAAAAAGAAATACGGTGTTATAATAATAATAATAATAATAATAATAAATGAAAATGTGTTTTCTTTCATTTAACTTAAAAAGAACCAAAAGGAACTTCTATATCTACGATCAAAATATGATGTTATAATAAATAATTTTTTTGTCTTTAAACTCTAAATAGCAACAAGAAACCTCTTGGATTAAAAAAACAAATGTTTTTATAATCAAAAGAATATAAAAACAAGAGAGATCTACAGAAAAATCTCAAAATATGATGTTATAATAAATAAATTTTTTGGGATTTTATTGTAGATTTTCCTAAAAACAATTCATATGATAGGTGACATTTTTTAGCCCGTTTTTGCCTTTAAATTTACAAAGTGAAGTATCGATTTTGCCCTTAAAATTAAATTAGAAAAGTCAAATTAGCGTATTTTTAGTCTTCCGTTATGATTGATGGTATCACAAAAAAACAGCAGACATTCACCGTTTCTAATAATATGCACTAACCCATATTTTTGTTGTTGATTAGCAAGATCTAAACCAATTTTATGCCTTTAATCTCTAGATAGAAACAAGAAACCTCTTGCATTTAACAAAAAGAAAAAAACAAAAAAAAAAACAAATGTTTTTATATTCAACTGAAGAATAAAAACAATTCATATAAATCGTCTATTATAATAATAAAAAAAAATACTTTTATGCCATGTAGCTTT